GTCTTCTTTTTTCAGTCGTCGGTTACAACAAATCTTCTTACGAGCAAGCCTAATTCTGCGACACCTCACACTGTCGATTATTGCTGTAGCACTGTGGCCCAGAACTTTCTCAGATCTGAGTGGTATATTGTTTGCATCTTCCTGTCTGTATTCCACATGCTGACCATGTCCCGACCAGTCCAGTTGTTCGAGCTCGTGCAGAAGAATACCTTTCGAGTCAAGGTAGCTCAGCCATTCACTACTGAACACTTGACCTGGTACAACTTCAGGTGAAACAGGTTCCTTTAGGACAAATTCAAGTAGCAGTGGTGTAATCTTGCTTCTTATGTTAGTTTGCGTCTTGGTCTCGCTGAAGCTGAAGTCAACGCTGTCTACCAGCTGAATACTGAGCTCGTCAATCAGACCCACTATAGCCTTATCGTGAAAGCGGCTAGCAGCCAACGTCTTAAGCGGCGATAGCTCGCGGTCTACTATCTTTTTGAGTTTGTCAAAATTTCCATCTATCTCGAACGAGGGACCAATTCTGTGCAAGGATATTTGAGATACGACTTCGTCGATGAGTTTATTGTAGTGATTATCGGTACCATAAGGGGTGGCACTGCGGTATGTTTTGTCTTTACCCATGCTTCGGGCATCCAGGCGCAAGGTCCCAATTCCCCAGCTCGTTTGGGGACTGTTGTGCGCAGTGACGTAGCTCGCCAAACTTGAATGAGCCGTATCAAAGCTCCTCGGGCTAGCAAAACCCAAGTGATTTTTCCTGAATGAGCCTAGAGAGGTTCGTGGGCTACCATGCTGACCAAATTTACTGAGAAAGCTACTATTCGGCACGCTTGTAGAGTACAGTTCATGCACCAATTCCTGCCGTTGTAAGCTAGCCAAGTCCCCGAGGTCATCATTTTCGGAGTCCGATTCATCGTCGCTTTTGTCGTCCTGTGCAGTTTTGAGGGTCGTATATAAATGAGTTTCTGTGTCATGCTTGTTCTCTTCCCAATCGTCGATTGAAATGATTTCGTGCTCCTGCGCCGTCTCCCTGTCGGCTGAGATTTCTTGCGTAAATGTTTCACCTGGCTGGGCTACCTCCTGTGCCTCCGCCCTGGAAGTGCTTAGTTGTGTTCGAGGTACGCTACCATCACCAGTGTCGACGCTGCAGTGCCGCGATTGATGCCATAGGAGGGTTTCACGGCTGAAAAAATATGTGCCACACCACTCACACAAGCGCGGTATGCTTGCAAAACCGTCATCTGAGAGCTGAAAAGTGTTTGCTTGCCTCCAAGAATTTCGCGAAGCGTCCATCTCGGAACAAGCTTTTCATTCTTTTGCGAATCGAGAGGAGATTCGAACATCTTACATGTCAGGTTGACATTTGAGGAAGGAGGGCGGAGTAAGAGGCCCGTGCTCAGCCGGGGGCATTGCATGTGTTGTTGCTCTGCAAAGCCCGTGGTCTATGGTGCCACAACACGAAGAATTCGATGTAAACGATCAGGCAAAGGAGTCTCCCTCGATGTGAAGGAGAAAGAGAATGATGAGATGGGGACAAGGTGCTGCCTAAGCCAATGTTTCTATGACCTTCATGTCCGGTAACACAACGAGGGAAGCTGCGCATGGCATGAAAGGAAAGAGGGCTGTGTATGAGTTCGATGTATCAACAGCACAGTTGCTTGCGAAAAGGGGCTAAAGCGTGCGATCTAAGCATTCAAATACTACAGAAAAACTGTGTGCCATGCAATACTTCATACACTATTCTTTGACCCATCAAATCAGGATCACTTTATCGATCCTTAAATGTGCCATGTATTGTGTAGGAATTCGTCGTTTATAGGCTCACTAATCGCCCTTTCTATGACTTGGGGCTCTTAAAATGCCTGGGACTCTTTGGCACTAAACCTTCACCCTGCGTCTTCATCTTCTTCATGGCATCCTCGACTTGATGTTGCTTTTTCGACACATGTGTATAGCGCTTCTCAACTTCCTTTTCGAACTCTTGCGCGAGCTTACGCTTGTTCTGCCTCGCCTCTTTCGTGCGTTGGATGATGCTCTGAAATTGGTCGAGGAACCAGTCGCCGGATTCCTCCCACTCAATGATTGGCAGCGAAGAGAAGAACTCTAACTGTTTGCTAGCATCTAAGTTCTTCTGTACAAATTCTAGGCGCTCAAGGAGGGGTTTCCGGAGAATATCGTCCGTGAGGGCTTGTGGGCCAGCACGAGGATCAGTGTCAAAATCTTCATTCTTGAGTCGATCATAACTCATGGCGAACAAGGTTCCAGAGTCATAGTCACTAACTGGAACAGCAGTCTCTTCAATTGGCACCTGCCTCGTAGGCTCATGCTGAACGGCTGGCTCAGTCTTGGGACGCGCTGATGATTTTTTCAAAAGAGCATGCGGTTCTGTTGGCTGCAGGTGGACACTCACTGGACCAGGTGGTGGAGGTCGATGAGTTTGATACAGGGATATACTAGGCTGTGTCTGCGTGTTCCTGCCAACGTTTGAAGAGGCTGGTAAATCGGGAACAGTCTCGTGGCTTGATTGACCATAATTAGGACGTTGGGAAAGCGGCAAGCCAAGGGGGATACTTTGATAGGCAGACCCTACAGGTTGAGCAGGCTGCGGGGTAGAACGTTGCTGGCCACGAAGACTCGCTGACTGTTGGAAAATATTGGACTTATGCATGCCCGGGTTGGATCCAAATATATTCGGCGCAGAATCTCGTTGAGGTAGTGGGGATGCGAATGGGCGTGCTAGATGATTGTTGGCGGTCGCTCGCTGTGGAGAGGGAGAAACCAGTGCACCGTAATTTTGATCTTCGGGGATTGCCTCCTGCCCTCCTTCCCACTCAGTAGGATCTCCATTGGTGGTGGTTGGGTATGAATCACCGTCGACCATAGGGAAACCATTTAGTCGTACCTGCTGCAAAAAAGAAAGCTGTCCCTCGCGTGAAATGGCTTGTAGTCCTGCCTGTTCAATGAGTTGTATATCATCTTGCGTCCACTCATAGTCCTCGAACTCGTCTTCTTCTGATCCCTTTTCTGACACGCCCTCGTCACCGTCCAACTCATCACCAAGTCCAAGAACTTGACCTTGCTGTTGATGCTGTTGCTCTCTTATCCGGTCGTCTTCAATCTGCATAACAGAGTGGTTCACCGTAGTATCGAGGCTCTCTGCATCAGTATCGTAAGGATCACGTTCCTGACCTTGACCTTGACCAGACTGTCGAACCTTGGCGTGCTGTTGTATGACTGCAGAGCTGTTTTGAGCATTACCGAGCCCCCGAGTCGGGATTACAGACTGTGGCTGAGGCTGTTGTACACTATAACCTTTCTTGAGCGGAATTCTCGCGTTTGCAGCACTGGCCTGTCGCTTAGACATGATATTCAGGTGGCCATTCTGCGCACTCTGTGGACTGCCTGCTCGATCGCGATCTTTTACGAAATTCTGCATGACAACAAGAGCGAAAATACGCGTAGTCTCACACTTTTAATTGGTTGGCCACGGTCACTGAAGAACAAGAAGGATGTGGTACATGGGGTGAAGCACGAAACATGAAAGTTGAAGCTTGAAAGGGAAAGCGCGTTCTTTGTTGTGCGCTAACCCTATTCAGAATGGTCCCGGCCATACCTCAGGGTAATCTAGCTAGCGATGACGATATCTTATCTCCGTTCGCAATGGTTTCCATCCGCCCATGCGGGATGCATGTTACTACTCATATATCACTGCGTACTCTCATTACCTCATTAGCTCACGATTGCCTACATTGCAATGGCTGAATGCTACCTCTATAGGCTCCCAAATGAAGCATGTGACTCTTCACGACATTTCACCCTTGCGTGGCTAACGATTCTAGTTGTTACTACACCTTTTCGCTCCGATACCAACACCTGGCCTCCTTCCCTTGACCATTCTATCAAGTCGTATTCACACCATCATCCTACGCATTTTACATAATCGATTGGTCGCAGCCGCAGAGCTACATTCGCACACACTACTTCTTGAGTGTTATCATCCCTCTGCGAAGCTTACTGAGCCGCCCTACTTTTGTACATATCATGGCACCGATGGCTTGTCTTTATATGATGATTCTGAATCTGCTCAGCGAAATGTGGGCAGGTTAGGTGACATGTACAATATGTATTCTCGGTTCCGACCATACCGGCGAGAGTTGGAGGACGGTGGAAGAAGAGTACTCCCTCGACCTGGAGATGTGGCAGGTAGTCGCACCTTTCCGGGAACTGTGCAGGATAAATACCAAGGTGATACTGTCAAGCAGATGCTGGGTTTGGAAGCACATGAGCTGTTCACGCAATTGGTGGCGCAAACTAATCTGGTCAAGATTGGGCCACGTAAAGGCCTCTTCACATGCTTCGTAGGCGTCGAGGAGGGTGTCCTGAGAGTTTGGAGGGACTGGTTGAGTGATATGGCAGCAATGGGTCCCGTAGCCGATAAAATCGTGGAAAGAGAGATTGAAACAGCAGGCAAAGGCAAAGCAGCGCTGAAAGAGGCAGTTGGAAGACCGGTGAATTTGGCAGACCCACGGATTCTTTGGGTCAATGCGTCAAAGAATTCTGGTATACGTTTCAACATTATGGAAAGAAAGCTTCAAAATAACGCACCTATTCTCATCCGCAACGACGAGGACATGCCTGTTAGTTACGAGATTGAATATGATGGTGTGTGCCCTATTTTGCTCTCTCCGAATTCTACATCGTCGCTGACTATGGCATAGAGCTTTTGATACGGACGTCATATCTCTTGCTAATGCTTGAGAAGTCTATGGTACAAGAGGACAACTCGTCAGGGAAAGCAGTCGTATTTGGTTCGTTCGGATGATATCAGCTGGCACATTTCGCAAATAGAAACCCAATGTTATCATAAACAAGCTTCAAGATTGAGCGAACAATGAGCCACTGCGCAAACTCTATAAACAGACAAGCACGGTATAGGGCCAAAAAAAGGTGTAAAGTTGCAAGATAAGGACAACTACTTTCAACAAGGTGTAAAAAAGTAATGACCCCATTGTGATTCGAACACAAAGCCTTCAGGTATTTCCAGAGTGCACTGGAATCTGACGCGCTACCGTTGCGCCATAGGGCCAGATCCTTTTGATGCAAAATTGCAAGTTTAAATAATCATTATAGAGATTTGTATTACGGAGCACACGTTTGTCCTGGTAAGCTCAGACCATAAAAAGTCATCTGCAACTATCCTCTGACGACTTGATCCGCTGTGGGAAGCTGTTTTATCCCTGCGTTTCATCGCGTGTGGCTTGCCAGACCCCGCTGCAACCCCACTTGAACAACGCCAGCAAAAAAACTTGCTTCCACCCGCCACCTAAGCCACCCAAGTCTCTCTTTCTCACTAGCATGATAGCGTATGGCTTGGTGCTTCTGGCTGCGCAAAAAAATCATGCTGATGTCTCCGCTCCCAGAATCGAACTAGGGACCTTTCGATAACAATGTTGCTATTACAGTCGAACGTGATGAACCAACTACACCAAGCGGAGGCTTGCAACTTGTGGGTTGCGCTTGGGATGATCTGATGTCAGATGGCTGACTTAGTCAATTAATATTGCAAGCAAATGTATGATATTGCCACAATCGAGAAGGAGATCCCCATGCAGGGATCATTGGACAGGAACGCTGTTCTGACGTGTTCCCTCGGACACCTGGATATGGTGGCTGTGTCGAATGAACTAAAAGGTTTTCATGTTCAAAAGGGCTCGGGTCTGAGCACATACCACGACCAACACTCGCGTAACTTTCAATGATGATAGCTTGAGAATGATCTATTCTAGCAATGCTTTGTGCTATAGCACAAAGCCCATGGCAACCAATACCACAAGGGTTCAAGCCCTCTGCAAGTCTTCGCAGACCCAAATGTATTTCTGAGCCATGAGCGAGTGTACCCACATTGTCTATATCTTCCACCATCTCATCTTCCACATCCACCCTCCTTTCAGCGCAACCTTGAATCCCCATTTTTCCCACATCTTCATCAGCATCCTGGTCGCCCATAGTCCCCAGATCCAGACAAACTCGCCTAGCATCTTCATGGCACGGAAGGGCGCACCGAGCGTGTGGAAAGCTTCCCGTATCGCGTCTAGAACAAACCATAATGCGACGACAGCATAGAGTGAGAAGGCAATTTTGAGTATGAGGAGAGTCAGCCTTTTGATTTGTGCAAAGCCAGAGTCGAATGTGCCAATAGATGCGGGAGGCGTGGAGCGACCTAGTTTACGTGGGGAGGCCGGGCGGCTGGCAATTGGGGTCCTTAAACACACAGGCGCAGGAACAGGTGTCGCGTGAGTTGCAAAAGGATCAACATACGTCGAGGCCTTCTTTACTGTCGCTTGTCCAATCGGCGATATGGGAGCCTTGGCTACACGAGGACTTGATGGTCTCAACCATGGCCACCTCGAGGTCAAAGATCGCTTCAGCGTGCCCTTTCTTCCCTTGTCATTGTCCTTATTATTCTCCTTCTCTCTCTCCATTTCGCTATCAGACGTACTACTCGCGCCGGCCACCGCACCAGCAAGGTCCTTACTTCTGTACCCAAAAAGTGAATCGCCTTCGATGGAGTGGTGCAATCTGAAGTTCGGCATCGACTTCACCGGACTTGGAGAGCGAGATGCTTGCGTTGAGCATGTAGGTGACGGGCGGGAGTAGAGACTGCATCTGCTCTCTGTTTGTACACGATCGCCCTCTGCCACTACGATTTTCGGCATGAGTCTCACTCTGATCGTAGCAAGAGGTGGGGTTGGTGATGGCGTTGAGCGCGATGCTCCAGCTTCGGAATCAGTACGATATCGATATTTTGAGCTAGGAGTGGAACCAATGCTACTAGACACGGCTAGTTTGCGCGGAGTGTATAGCTTCTTTGGCTCGTTTGTGGCGCGAGATCTTTGTACGTGTGATCTATGCCCTCGGTCGGGCAGCATCCATCCAGTCTGCGTCAAGGGAGGGCTGATAGGAAACGAACCTGCTGGAGTCGGTGGGCTTGTGGGCGGGGTGATCGTCCTCACTAATGGCGGACTGTGTCCAGCTGTGTTCGGTCTTGCATAATCATACGAAACGATTTTCGAGGGCACTCGAACGCCTTGACTATTGTTTCGCTCTCTGACTTGTCGTGCCTTCTCCATGTATGTATGATATGCCTCAGCTTGAGCGACTGGGGACGGTTTCAGTGGAGATTTTGTATGGTCAATGATAGGCAGGCGAGTTGTCGGCATATGTACCGCGAATGCATCACTTTCGAATGCTTCTTGCGTATCCGTTGCATCAGTATAGATCGTAGCATGACCAGTCTTCTTGCTCTTTGGATCCCTTCTCTGTGTAGGAATAGCACGATGCTCTACAGATTGTGCTGATCGTGATGAGCTAGAAGAGTCAAAGTTCATTCTAGGGCTTCGAGCTCCGTATGGTGGAGATTGAGGTAGCTTGGACGACAATTCCAAAATCTCCTCAAGTGTTTTCGGTGTCCGTGGCGGTGTGTTTGGCAGTGGTTGTTCCGCATATGAGTGATTAGGTCGATTGATACATTGAGTTTGAGGTGATTCGTGCCGACGGAATCGCATTACGACAGTGGTTGTCAAAACTCGGTGGAATACCCAAGTGCTGTTGGTGAGAATACAATTCACGTGAGGCACTTGCGTTGAGGCGCTATGGGAACAATTAGTGCATGATTTTGAGCCTGAAGCCAGTATTAACATCTAAGCGGAGCTCCGAAGACGGCATCCAATGCATGAGGGTTGGAATGGAATGCACTGTGGCTGGTAACCTGATGGTTGATTGCGTGGAATGTGATGACGCCCGAACCTAGAATCCGAGAACGTATGCACGATGACCATGAATTCTAGTAGAATATCGACAATTGTCAGAACCTACATATTGTCGCGCAGATAGACGTAATCCGTGATTCCACGAACGACAGCCTGGGTATATATGCGGCAAAGTGACCTCGATACCGGGTGAAAGTCAATATGCAGTCGTGGGCCAAAACTCCACTTGTTACAATTCCGCACCATAGAAAACTTGCCCAAAACGCCTCTCATCCATGTTTCTCTATGCGAGAAATCAGTTATCGCGTGCAGTCTCAATCTCTGCATACTCTGCCCATTTGCCATTCACAGCTTTCTTCCATGTACGGATGGCAGCATCATCTCCTGTTGAAACAAGTAGGTCACCTAATAACACTGTTAGGGGAAGATCTCTTGATATTCTGTGCGCAACAACTTACCCATTTGAGAGAATGTGACTCGCCACACAGCTCCATGATGATTTGTTAGCTCATCGGTTAGTTTGGCCACCTGCCTGATCCGTCCCGGATACTGCTCGTTCTCGTGCGATGTCTCCGGTGCCTTTGATCCTCCCGCCAGCCCAGCTCCTATACCAGATGGTGCATTCTTTCGTGGCCCGGGACGCGGAGAAATTGGCTCTGTGACCGTGGCGTTCGATGAAGTACCACCAGTTGAAGACTTCCCTGAAGTGGGCGTTGAAAGTTCGTAGATGCGAATGATGCCATCCTTGCTAGCTGTTGCAAGAATATCATGGCCTCGCATAGAGCCGTTTGCCCAAGCCAAGTCACGGATAACCTGGCGAGCACCCTCTAGCTTCGCCACTTGGAAGAAGCGCTTGGCCTTGTCGGTCCTGTAGATAAGAACATCCTTCATTGCTGCAACGGCGAGCGAGAGGGATTTACGATCCAGTCCAGCCATAATAGCTGTCCAGCAAGGCAACTTCTCTTTGTGGAACACAACCTTGAAACCAACCTCTTCTTGGCGGTCAGGAGGGTTGTTCTCGGAGACCCAGTGCTCAGCTAAAACAGTCCACTCGTTGAGGCTGCTCTGGTCCTGGGGCTCATATACGGTAAGATAACCATCGCGGGTGATCAAAGCAAGCCACGTCTCCTGCATGATGTTCTTAAAATCCAAGGACATGAATGGAGCGTGAGTTTGGGAGGCGAGATTCGTGATCAGCTTGAATCTATTGCCGGACATAGGCACCTCAGTAACATCCTCCTGCCAGATTTTACAGCGACCATCTTCACCAATACTGCCGACGACTTCTCCCATGAAGGGACCGTTCCACTTGACCTTGGGTGCAATCAGCAGTAGGTCTAAGCGGTGGCGAATTCATATGCAGGCTGCCAAATCGAGGCTTGCGGCTGAAAATTAGATAACTTACATCGACAATTTCGGCATCATGCGCTTTCCAAGTCTCAACAAGCGTCCAGGATTCGTCTTTTTTGTCCCATACCTTGAGGCGGTGGTCGGAGCCCGCTGTGACCATACGTGTGCCAAAGTAGTTGAAGTCAATGGCAAGCACGAGGTCCTGGTGACCATGAGAGAAGGTCTGAAAGTTGCGCTCTGCTGCCATGTTTGCATAGGCGTGATGCGCTCCAATAAACTCGGTTTCGAGGTGCTCTACAATGCGCTGTTCCACGCTGCTCGGGCTACCGTCGGCGCAGGGCTCCTGAATTAGCGGAGAGACCAAGTCAGCGTGCTCGAGCACATCTTCAAACGTCACTGCGAGGTTGAGATGAGATTGCCGATGATGGGAGAGCGGACCAGAGTGTAACCGTGCTTCGTCGCGTGTGGGGCTGAGAGAGGACGAGTCGCTTACGGCCGACGAGGGCAGTCGCGACGGCGTGAGATTCGTTAGAAACGTCGGACGCACGAGACGACGGGTTACAGCATCTAGACTGAGCTGGATAGCATCGAGCTGCGACTGCTGGGCTGGCGGGTTGAGGTCCATAATGGGCTGCCAATGCTCTCCGACAACCGTGAGCTTCTCTCGTTTCGGGTTAGTAAAGAGGGAGAAGCCGGGGCAGCTTAGGAACACCTTTCAACACCACCAAGCAAACGCCAACGGGGATCACAAAACACGCGCACACCACCTCTCGTCATTCGTTGCTTGTCGTTTCTACTTCTCCTTGAACTGTGTACCTGTCGGAACTAGAGGGGCGCTTTGCCCGATTCTGATTGTTAAACTTTGTTTGCGTTTTCCTTCTTTCAGCTTACACAGGGGCAGACTGCATGGAGTTCACCAGCTCCACCCGGTGATCAATTTTTATTTTCGGACCGCTGCGAATTGCAC